AGATGTTTGCTGGAGCCTCTGGGTCCTGCATTAGACAGTAGCTGGTTCACTGCAAAGCTGCCATTAATTCAGACCTGTGGAGCTATGTCTAGATGACAGATTTGAGCAGGCCTGTCTTGCTCAGGATTACAGGGATTAGTGTTGTCCAACCAGCAGCCACCTTGCATAGATGCAGTTGAAACTTTTTACTGGAGCAGTTTGTTGGTAATAGCTCATTAACAGTGGCAACTGAGAGGGTGGAGGTCATGGCAGAAAAGTTGCTTCTGTTTTGTTCCTCCATTAAGTGAAAACTGCTGGTGTGGTAGAGCAGTATTTCCGTATCAGCAAGGGGCTACTTTGGTATTATTTTAGACTCTGTAGGTTGCTTGCTGGAAGGAGTCGTCTGAAGAACAATCAGAGCTGTCCTGATGAATGCTCTGTACAACAGCTGTTTGCCTCTGGGGGGCTGAGGCTGGTCACCTCCACTACCCCGTCATGTGCAGAGCCAGTACAGGATCACACTAAACCATTGTTTTTAGAGGTTTAATCAGCAGCAGTTAACTCTGGAGGATGAGGTATCACCAAGGTTCTCATCTGGTTGGTTTTGTTTATTCCTAATGTTTGAGTACTGGAGATGAGTATCACCAGGAGCTACCCAAAGCATCTCCTGGAATAACTTTCTCGCTAGAGCTAAGCCTTGCACTGCATTCCTCTCTTCTCTTTGGTCCTGTAAGAGCTTGATGCTTCAGCCAGTCAAAAACACTTCCTGGTCTTGTGTGCAAATAGTCCTTAACCACAAATGTGCTTTAGCTGTACAGGCTAAAGTATGTGCGTATCAGCTTACTGCTATACATATACCTTTCCCTTTAGATGTACCTGGGCAGCTGTGGAACATTCCCTAAAGTGGGGATCTTGATGAGAAAACAAAGCAAAACAAACAAACAAAAAACACCCCCCCCCCCCAAAAAAAAAAAAAACAACAAACCACAACCTCAAAAAAACCAACCCAGAAAATTTGAGTGAAGAGGATAACTAACTGTCCTAGTTAATGACCTCTCTGAGAAGCTTATCAAGCAAATACTGAGTAGTCTTTGAACTTGCCCTTAACACAGGAATTGATATTGGGCTCATCAGTGCTGCAGAATTACAGTATACTTCAGGGAATTGTTTATCACTGTGATCCTCAAAAACAGGATGACTGGAATGGTTAGAGGCAAATACCAGCCATTTTGTCCTGGCATGGGCTGGGTTTTCAAACACTTCTGAGATGATGAAAGCTATAGTCTCTTTTGCTTTATGGATGTTATCCTGCCTGCTATTATCTTTCAGCATCTGGGAAATAATATTGCATTTAGATGGACTAACTCAGTTTTTTATAAAAAGCATTTCCTGCATTTTGTTCTGAAATCTTTTATTTTTTATTTCCTCCCAGTATTTGTGGCTGCACAGGCGAGGTACATCCAAACTGATGTACCTTATGGCTTGGTTTCTAACGTGTTTATCAACTTGGGGCCTCCTTGGCTTTAGGCTTTTGTGAGTCTTCTACTGAAGTGATGATTTCAATAGACTAAGCACCGAACTTTGGAGTTGGATTTTTTTGGGAACCCAACAACAACATTATATTCTGTCTGTAACTGAACAGTAGTAGGAAGAATGTTTTACTCTTATAAATTGCTTTTGTTTTCAAAGAATTTCAGAAGTTAATTCACTGATCACTGAATCCTTCCACATCTGGAGTGGAGCACTTCTGTTAGATGATTTGTTGAAGGCAAAGCACTGGCATGCTTGAAATTCACGCTTACATGTATGAGATGTGTTGTTGCTTTACACATTGTGGCTAGACTATTCCAACATGAAACTGGAAGGAAAAGGAGAAACTAATTACAAGAGGTAGCATCAAGAGAAGCAGTATCCTCCTCTCTGAAAATGGAGAATTTTGTTCTACCTCCTCCTGTGTGATTAGTCATTTGGAGAACAGCTGTTCACCATGGACTGGGCAGCGTTCCAGCTGTGTGACATTATTGACATGCCCTGATCATCACCCATTTCTGCCTACACTTTCAGCCTACTTGCTTGAAATGTTCATTTCATCAGCTTTTGGGTTGACAGGAGGTTGGAGCCTGTGTGAAAGTGAGATGAGCGTACCTCTGTAACAAACAGGACTTCTCATTTCATGCGTCCTTGTTGCAGTTTTCTTCTTTCAGGGGGATTTCAGTTGAGTTAGCAAAGCCAACGAGGGGCTCCCTCAACTTGGGGATCAAGTTGCAACGTGAAGGTTTTTTTATTTAGCAGTCCTGGGTTAAATAATCTTCAGCAGCTAAAATAAGACCCGTATCTTTTTTCAAAAAGGTGGGTTTCTGAGTGCTTGAGTTCTGCTGAGTGACTGAAGGAGAGATTCCACGGATAATCTTAACATTTCTGTGTGGCCTCATGAAATTATATCTGTAACCCCTTCCACCTCCAAGGGGTCAGTACATCATCAGGGTTTTCAGAAGGGTTACAAAAATAACTCCGTTACACTCACTGAAACGTGACTGACTCAGTTGGAAATAAAACCTATGCTAGGGAACCATAAGAAACAGATGAGTTACGGGTGTCCCAGATTTTGAATGTGCTTTTTGGTCTCTCTTTGCACTTCAAAAGCATTATGTAATTGTCAGAATGAATCAATGAGTTACGCATATATGGAGAAAGCTGAAACAGAAAGGTTAGTTGCTTGAGAGCAAAACCTAAAAAAGCAATAATCCTTTTCTTTTTAGTCCCACAGTAGACGTATTTGATGGTGTTATGACTTGTTCTCTTCCTTCTTGTTCCAAGGGAGGGCGGGGGTGTCTCTTGGTCCCTGGCACTGCACTCCCACAGGCTTGAGCTGGAGCTGGCTCTCCTTTGAGCAGGGATGCTGTGGTCAGAGCCTGAATGAGCCCCAGGGACCTTGAACCCATGGTGCAGGAGGAGCAACTTACGATCTTGCAGGGAAAAATGGTGATAAATGTTCTACTCTAGGCTGTGCTTTCAATGCTCCCTTGAAAAATAAGGATTAATAAAATAGGAGAAGACTGGCATATTTAGGTTTTGGTTTACCTTGTTTTTAAGTATCTCGGTGACTCAGTAGCTGCTTCTGAGAGCTCCAATATCACTTGGACAATCGGTGCTCAGAGAGAGAAGCTTTATATTTCCTTCAGTGTTAAAGGACAAGAGCTACCTGCCTAGCTGGTGAATGTGATTAATTGTCGCTTGTCTATAGTAGAGGAGTTATGGCCTGCTAGCTTTTCATACTGGCGTGTCTACCTTGCCTCTCCTACAAGGCTATGAAAACGAGAGGAGGGGAGGATATTGTAGAGTTTATTAGTATGATGCTGATATACAGTAAAATGCATGAGTATAAATATACTTCTCCTTTTTAAACTGATCTGCATGCACAAATAAGCAGATTACAATAAAGCATGGGCTAAATACCTTATTTTTTTTCCACAGATAAGAGTAGTCATGAAAAGCAGATCAGTTTCCAAAACTACTGCTTTGCCAAATGCAACATTTCTATATATACACCAGTGTAGATCCAGCACTGACATCCTAACAACGATGGAACAAAATCTTTGTCTTTTAATGCCAGTGTTTATTCTTTGTTCTCTCAATAGCTGCTCAAGACATGAGACATTCATCAGGTTTTGTTTAGAAGAATTATTTTCTATATTCTCCCTGTGACATGGGCTGGAGAAAGAGCTTCTTAAAAACAGTAGGGCTGCCATGTTACTGAAAAACTTTATCTTTGACATTTTGTATAGAACTGATGGAAAATTATTATGTTAAAAAAAGAAACTAGTGAGTTGTTATTACTTTATTTGAAAATAAAAAGAAGACCCTTCAAAAGATTCTCGTCCTCAACATCACAGGCAATTCTTACTTTTGCTGCTTATTTAAGCACAGAAAAGTCCCAATTTTTATACTTATTAGGTATCTGGATTCTGCCCCAAGAAGTCTAGGATGTAGTCCTAGCTGTGTTAAAAGCCTACCTCCAGATAATGATGATGATCATCATCTTTTTATTGGGGGGGAGATAGGACTGCAGTGAGGCATTTTAACACCAGAGCTGGGATCCCCATCAGGTCTCCCCCACTCCAAACTTTTTCTCCTGCTCTTCATTTTTACATTATTATTATTTTCTTCTTCTGTGTGTCCTTCTTAGCCCGCTCTCCTGACAGCCCAGCTGGTACTATTCATAATTGGCAGGCCATTCAGGGCTTAGGCAAAAATAGCTATAAATTAAAACACGACTGACTGACCACTCTCTCCCCTGCCTTGCACCTTCTGTAGATACTTCCATGTGTGGAAAATGAGTGAGGAATTCTGGAATCATATCTTAGAATGGTTTATATCATTTTGATGTAGTAAGGTTTTATGCGTGTTTTGCAGGGATGTAAAAGTACAGAACGTATATGGGTGGTATTGTATAGACACAGAGCCAATAGTTTGCATTAAGGCTTGTGTGCTAGTTCTTCCTTTGGTTCACGCTTTCCACTTTTGGTGTATTTCATTCATTTTAATTATTTATAATATTAATAATACATCAATCTTCCTTCTATTCTGTCCCAGAGGGGACCCTATTATGAAAGTTAAAAATTAGGTATGTTATTACTGTATCTGCTAAGCATTAGGAGCCTGATTATTCTAGATAGCGATATCTGGAGAGTATATTGATAATTTTAGATAGTGATTCACCTAGATAGTGAATTGGAATTGAAAGAGGGGTGGGGGGTGACAAGCTATTACAAGCTCTGTAACAGCAGCTCTGGAAACCTCAACGGTGATTTAATAACGAAAAAGACTCTAAAAGCATTAAAAAAAAATCCAAAGCTTACAGTGGTCACTACCTGTAACAAGGCTGATTAATAAAATACTTTTGAAATGCTAAATATTAAGATGAAATACTAATAATTAGTCTGTGTAATTATCAACCAACTTTCAGAACTGACCTTACAGCCATTTTCTTTGTTTTGGAAAGGATGATGGGCAGAGGGAGAAGGCTGTCCACCCATCCTTACTGCACAGATACATACTGTGAGGTGTAAACGCCACAACTGGTACTGTTAACTCAGAGGGAAAGAAAGTCTGACAGGTAAGTGTGTTCATATCGAATGAAGAGAAGACATGTTTAGGTTTGACCTGATCTAAATCGTCTCCTCCTCTGAAAAATGAAAAGTTCTGGGAAATTTTTAGCATGACTTTGGCATCTGTTTTGTTGACTGTATGGTGTTTAGATATCTGTACCTAGCTAAAGGGGTGATTCTTTTTCTAGCAGAAGGTTTACAAAGGAGTCAGTGTCCAATGTTCTGGTCTGGCATCTGTAAATGGGGTCGAAGCTCTCCCAAGTCTACGTTTTGATAGTGCTTTTGCCCTAATGGCTTTCCTTAGAGCAGGCATCCAATTTCTCTTAAATCCTTTTAGGTACAGTTGACCCAGGAGAAGGAATTCTTTGCAGGAATTTTCCATTCCTCCTGCATCCAAACGTTGTACAAACAAAGTGAAGAGTTCAGCCCCTGTGAGTAAATTACTGTCTTCGGTATAAATGTCTTCAGATTTCAGCAACTGCAAGATGTGCAGCCAGACTTGTTTTAATTCTCCCCTCCCCTCTCCCAGGAACTGTTGCTCAGAAAAGAGTTTCTGCAATGAGTTTTGACTAGCTGTTATCAGAGCTTTCTGTCTTTACATACACTCTTTTTCATACATGCTTGCTGGCATATGAATGGGTATATTACCCAGCAATTCACTGGGTAATTGCTGTTCTGTACCACACGGAGACCTTGATCTGCCACTGAAGCAACTGTAGTTCCTACGTTGAAGGTAAAAGCTTCTTTTTGAAGACTGCCATAAAGCTCCTATTCTTGCAGAAGGCAATGGATTTCAGAGCCATAAGGAAAGCTGTCAGTGGGATCAGGCTGAATATTGCCCTAAGGCACATAGATATCTTTTTCTTTTCTTTCTTTCTTTCTTTCTTTTTTTCTTTTTAAATTAATTAATACAGACTAAAGCTTCTCAGGACTTGGAACATTAGGAATACCCTCGAAGTGGATTTGCTGGCAAAGGCTGGTGTGAAGGATCAAAGATGCATAATAGATTCATTACTGCATGGACCAGCCTCAAAGAACTGAGAATTGTACCACAGTGCAGAAGTCGACGATGATTTTTTGATTTGTTGTGTAATCTATTCCGAATGCCTGTCAGAGCTCTGCTGTGACTGGTTTTGTTGAGCAGTGCTTAATGCATAGTTGACTGGCTTATCATAAAGTTGAAGGTACGTATTCTATGTTTGGGTTATTTTGAATCAAAAGCCCATTTTACAATGTAGTTAGCTTCATACACTTTTTTGTTGCAGAAGAGGACAGGAGTTTGAAAATGTGTGCTTTTTGGATGGAGAAAGAGTTCAGTGCATTTGACAAATTCTTTTTATTTGTTTGAAGGGTTTACTGAGTATGATAGTGTTATCGGACTGAAACAAAGGGTGAAGAAGGAATTAGTGTTTTGTGGTGCTCTGTTGTAAATATGATGACTGACTTGTTTTGGGACTTTCCTTCCTTTTGTTGTTTCTGATGTCAGGGAAACAGACTTAGGTTCTCCCTAGGTTTGTGTTTGGCGCGCAAGTGTGCAGCAACATGTTGACAGGCAGCTGTAATCCAAGCACTTGATAGGGTAAACCAGAATGGAGACTGTACGACCTGAAGAGCTGCCACACAGGAACGAGGGGAGGGATGTGAGAAAATGGATGGGCTAGAGGAATTGGAGGGAAATGACTCCTATGTGTTCCTCATTACCACTTTTTTCTGCCTTTGCTATATTTTTAATGGGTTCCTCTTGGTCCTGGTGAGCCTGCTGTCTTGGCTCCTACGCTTTGCTTTTCCTGCATGCTGGGATGCTTGCTGAAACAATGTTAAGAGCATGAGAGATGGAGAAAATATGTTCATGCTCTTTGGTAGTGGGTGAATACCTGAACTGACTCCAGGTGAACCACCTTCTAGACTCACCAGCCTGCTGCCACACCTGAACTAATTAGCCTCACAGAGATGGTTTTATTTACTGTGAGCAAGTCCCCAGAAGTTGTACTGGCTATGTAGGAAGAAGAGTTTAAATCATTCGAGTAACCCCTTTCTCATACCCATTTTCTGTTAGAATTATTGTCATCTTTATTCTTTGTGTAATATTGAGAGCAAACTGATAATTGTAGCTTTCATAAACTGCTAGTATGATCACTTTTTCTAGGTTAAAAGATTTATGATGTTTTACCACAGTCTTATAAACAGGAAAAGCCAGCCTAAAGACAGAAGAGAGATACTAATTAGAGAATGATAGAAATACAAATTTAAAGCAGCCACAGTAGGGCAGAAAATTTAAACAAAAGAGCGTCCTTTTTATTACAACCTAAGCCTTAATTATATATCCTAAGTCTTCTATTACATCCTAAGTTTAATTGCAGAAAACAGGGGATGGGAAAACTAAGCCTTCACAGCCATATTTGGCAGAAGCTCTGGAATGAGATTGCCATTAGAGGAAAAAGTAGGAAGTAAGCTCTCATGAGGAACACCTAAGAGAGATCAGGACGCTCTAACTTGGCCAAGGGGAGATGAGGAGAACCTGGAGCTTCTGCCACCAAGGAAGGGGACAGAAGTAAGTTGGTGAGTGCAAGCTGGAGCTGCGTGCCCCCTGAAGTAGCTGAGGGAGAAGCTGACGGTTAAGCATGATCTCATGATGTGGTTTGCTGTTTTATCATGTTTTTTAAAACGTTTAACTCTGTGGTGGTGGTGTGTATTTGTAACAGGATGGCTTAACAGGCTCCCAAATTGTCTGTCAGACACGATGAACGGTGTTTTCTTGAGTGTATGTTCAAGGAAATGCTTTTTTTGAGGGATTGGTAGCATCGGATGCTGATCTTACAGAAGGAACACTTTTAGTAGATTATGATAGGATACAGAATACAACTCCTCATTACTTCTCAGCATTCTGAAATAATAGCAGGATTTCTCCACTGTGTGTGTGGACCTTCTCCTGCACACAGCTTCCCCCTGCAAGCTCTCTTCTGCAGACAGCATTTTTTTGCTTTATTTCATTTCTTCTCACCCTCCTCAAACTGGCCATTGAGGGACATGTCCTGCCTCTGCTAGTGTACAGGGCTGTGATTAGCTCTGTTAGCTAGTCTTTCTTCCAGGGAATGCTGGCCTTCATCTGTTGTCCCAGTTTGGTTTTCTTTGTCTCCAAATCCACTGGATTGCCTAGCCAGTCTAAAATGAGTCTGTTCTTGTGAGTGTGTTTATCAAGTCTGAATAATGAAAGCATCCCTTTTCCCTCTCAGCTTAGTATAAACAGTAAAAAGAAAAAACATAGCCTAGATGATCATGAGGGCTTAAGCCCACACAGTTCATTAACTGAAAGTGGATTCCTCACAATTTCAAGAGTTAGGGTGGTTTTTCTGGGTTTGGGTTTTTGCGTATGTGGTTTCTGAGACAGAGTTGTGTGTTAATTAAAAATAGGTGGATTTTCCCTCACAAAGAAAAAGGCACTTATCTAACCATTAACATCTTTGATTTATATTTTGAATTCTTGCTTCAAATCATGGGAATGCTATAGAGTTTCTGAATAAAATCATTAAGTATTTTGCATAACAGTATTTTCTAATTACATTCTTTAAAAGCCTTGGCTGTTTTACCTGAAGTTAAACACACGAAAAGAAAATGGATGCTAGTGGGCACTCTATATTAAATACTTCATATGTCTCCATAATATCTTAATATTTCAGTGCTTAGTATTATCTACGTATATTATCTCTATAGGTAGAAAATTGTCCGCTATTTTCCCTTTTCTACAGAAGAAGTGACACACAATTAGACTTATCTCTTCAAACCTCTTTTTAAAAGCGTCAGGGCCCAAGGTCATGCAAGAATGATATGGTGGTGTCAGGAGCTAAACTTCACTCTTAAGCTTAGATAGTGGACCATACTCCTCTTCTCTCAGCTGAAGTGCCTCCAAAGGGGATTTGGAAAACTTCATACCACAAGCAAAAAGCTTCCTGTGGATGCTTTCCCTCTGCTGCTTACAATGCAGTTTTGGTAGAGGCTGTTGATGGTCTCCTTTAATAGCAGCTTGTAGGAAGAAGTCTGGAAGTTCTCAGGGAGAGAGCAGTTAGTGTGAGACTCGCAAAAACAGCACGTGTGGAAATGGGAGAAGGTCTCTACCTCCATTTTAAGTACTGTGGCCTGTCATGGGCTCCGTTCCCAGCTGACAGAGGCACTAGATGAGTCTCAATGCAACTCCATTCCCAACTGAGCCAATGGGGCCAAAGGCTTGCTATCCTTATCCCCAGCTGCCAATCAAGAAAACAATTTGTGTCCATTGCTGCCATCTATTCAGGGGCATTCAGAGAATACAGCTGGATTCTTTACCCATACAGCACTAAAGCTAGGACTTTGGTTTATTGTAGTTAAAGAAAATGATAAATTCTTCTGTGTTTATATTATACAATTTTCACATCTGCAGTATAAAATATATCTGCAGCTGTGGCACTGCAAAACCTGGGCTATTGTCTTGTATTCGAAGGCTTCTGCTTTTTTTTTTTTTTTTTTAATGCATCATTTTGCCCTCAGTACAGGATCTCTTTGCCAAAAATAGTGGGGTGAAGAGCCACCCAGCCCTCACCTTGTGAAAGAGGTTTAGAGCGAGCTGCTGCTATGTCCTCCTGGACTGGGGGACACAAAGCAAAGCCTGGCTGACACCTTTGAGAAACAACAGTATGTTTCCACATCTCTATCTCCTTTGCATAATCTGTGGTATCTGAATTAAGTTTCATGACATATTAACACTTTGAAGCTGAGTTAATATACTGTGCTGTATAATACATTATGTATGACTTGGGCATCAATTGTGCTGGAGCATCAGCAGCCTCAGACTTGAAAATGTCTCTTTCAGTGACAGAAATCCTAAATAATACTTTTTTTAATTGAAGGCCTTTTGTTTTTTTTTTTTTTTTTTAATGCATCATTTTGCCCTCAGTACAGGATCTCTTTGCCAAAAATAGTGGGGTGAAGAGCCACCCAGCCCTCACCTTGTGAAAGAGGTTTAGAGCGAGCTGCT